AATCTCCTACTCCAATAAATTGGCCTTGGGAGATTTCCATCCCTTTAGCTTTATACATTGTTCAATTAGCTGAGACTCTTCTCTGAATCAACTACATAATGAACCAGGCTCTAAGCCAACATTAACAATGCTTTTCCAGTTTTAGGGATAATTCTATTACAAACAGACCACAAGTTAATAGCTGTTTCTCAAAGGATGGATGCATGCCATATGAGATTACTACTTCCTTGTTTCTCTTTAAATCTAACATTAGCACAGGAGCCAATTAGCTTTTACAGAGCCTCAATCATTTGGCCATTCCTGTAAGGTTACTGAATATATAAAGTTTGGTTGTCTGAAAACCATAGGCTGTTCTTCTCTAACCTTGTAAAGCAATGATGAAGTTGGGTTTCCTTTAAATGCCTCCTTCTGGGTTTCAGTATCTCTATGATCTGCCTTAATAAGTTTTTCAAGGCCTGTATCTTATCAATCATATCAACCAATTATTTCAGACATAAACCTAGAACTATCATACTAACAATAGAAACTATCAAAATGCAGTTAACAGTATGTCAACCCCAGATAAGTTGATTATCCCTTCATTCAATTGTTCCATTTAAAATCATGCATTACATAATCATACAGACAACTACCACTCTCCATTGTAATAGTGTTTCCCATTTTTAATGCGAAAAAACATTCTCTTTCAAATAATTCCTCTGTTTAAGATTTCCCAATTGTATTACCAATCTGCTGACAATGTCTATTCAGATGATGGTGAATGTGAATCAGACTGATGCTGCCTGCATTGAACAGTAGAAACCTGAGCATCTTTCAAGGACACTATCTAGTTCAGTAGTAGCCTGAGAAGAGAGAAGGGGTTCAGGGAAAGCCAATTATCCACCAGAAGGAAACAAGCAAAAGAAACTACCTGCATGGGTGAACATAGGAAAGTGGCTAACTCCAGTGGTGTTTAGAGCCCACAGGCCTACAGATTTTGCCACAGAGATCCTGCCATAGAAATTTTCAGACCTTCTCAGAGTGCTTGGGGAAAAGAAAGGAAAATCTAGTCATCTAGTCATGGACTCACAGTTTTGTGGGAAACAAACCTTTCAGACTATTCAATGATGAAGGCAAATTCAATTGTATCACTCCCAAATACTCACAGTCAGATTGGATGAAGACAAAGAGGAAAAATTAATTGGTAGTCAGTGGAAGAGTTTTCAAGTACAATGCAAAATGTTATCAATAAAAAAAAACAACCATAAGAAATAAGTTAAAGCCAGAGGCTCCACATTTTGAAAATGTTGAAACACAAACAGTTACCTCCCAGGATTTCCATCTTGATTATTTTGCAAGTATAAAAGAAGACAAAACTAAGAGAATATTTTAGAACTTACAAGCTGCCTACATAGCTATAAGAATGACAGAATGTAATGTTTACATCTTGTAAGATGATAATGTCAAATTAAAATAATAAGAAATAAAAAGAAAATATGGATTGTTAATGATTACAAGATTGCAGTATATTTTAGTTCATTTTTAGGTTTTTTTTCCAAGACAGGGTTTCTCTATTGCTTTGGAGGCTGTACTGAAACAAGTTCTTGTATACCAGGCTGGCCTCGAACTCACAGAGATCCACCTGCCTCTGCCTCCTGAGTGCTGGGATTAAAGGTATGCTGCCCCAATGCCCAGCTATTATAGTTCTTGTCTTGGGTTGCAAAGTATGTTTTTATTGTTGATATGGGAAATATGGTGCTGCTTGATAGGACACAGAAAAAAATTTAATATACACAGAAAAATAAACTATCCACCTGCTGTCCTTGATAGCCTGGTTTCAGGAGAAATGTTATGACGAGAAAAGTATTTAAATCTCCATTTGTGAAATTGAAAATTATTGTATAGATCAGGCCAGGCATGGCAGTGCATGCATTTAATCACCTAATTTGAGAGACAGAGGAAGGCTGATGTGTGAGTTTGAAACCATCCTAGTCTACAGAGTGAGTTTCAGGACTACATAGAGAAATCCTGTCTTGAAAATAATAATAATAATAATAATAATAATAATAATAATAATAATAATAATAATACATTTGTAATAAACCCATGCCCTCCCATATACTTTACTTCTAGATTACACAATGGAAATAGGTATTATATTATATTGCAAATAAAATAAACAAAAGAATGTGTAACCATATTAAACAGATTACTACACTATGAATATTTTGATTTATGTGTGGTTGAACGAAAGTTTATGGAACCCAATGATACAGGGTTGTTTGTATTCAGAAAATACCACTAAGATGGGAGCACAAAAACATGATGGCACAGCCCCTGCTCAAATTATACTACTAGTGTATATTAAGAAAAACTGTGGTATAGGAACAAAAACAGAATTAATGGAATTAATTATATGGCAGAAACGAAGCCACAAAAGTGCAGTGACACAAAATTTTGACAAAGCTGTCAAAAATTGTCATTTCAGAAAAGACAGTTGTCAACAAATACTTCTGGGAAAAGTGTATGTCCACATGTAGAAAATGAGTTGATGAGTATCTATACCCTATAAAGAAAACAGCCCAAATTTAATCCAATTTTAATATAATCTTCACTGAACGAAATCAGAAACTATGCAACCATTCAAGAACATGCAGGGAACTTTAAGGTATATGCCTATGGCATTCTGAGAAGGATTTAAGTAGAAAATTAAGCCCTAAAACGGACAAAAGAGATTCAATGAAATTAAAGAGTTCCACATAGCATAAGAAACAATAAGTAGAGGAAAATAAAAACATTTGTCACATATGTATCAGATGAGACGCTAATATTCAGAATGCACAAAAGTCTCCATTAGTAGAAGTTAAACACAAAACATTGAAAGACCATTTCTCTGATATTCTTGGTTATGAACCTATTCTCAATGGCTGAGCCATCATTCTAGCCTTGAATGGATATGTCTCCATAGGAAAACTAAAAATGTTTAATGAATATTTTTGTACCTGTTCAACAATCTTGGTTTTCATAGAAATGTAAATTAAAACAGTGAGGTTATCCCATTTGGTATCAGTCAGAACAGTCATTACGATTCAAGAAAAGACCAACAAATTCTGCTTTGAAAGTGAACAAAGAGAAATTCCTTAAGAGAGAAAATGGGATGACAAGCAAAACTTATCCCATGATCATCAATACTGAAGCTTCACAAAGTTAAAACTAGAACTTGCATAGTGCTGGTCTCGTATTGTGGATCTTTTTCAGGAGTTCAGCAATAAACAGAACATGAAAATGTCTTTATAATGCCATGAATTTGAATACTCCATGAATGTAAGCAGAACATGTACAGACAGATCATGTGGAAAAGCCAATCTTCAGCTGCTTCAAAAACTAAAGTTCCTAAGAGCCTTTTTGCACTATGTCTATTATTTAAATCACCATAAATATTAATGACTGGAATATTCTTTCTCACATCCTCCACGTGTTTATGCTATTTCTGGAGAGATATGAGGTGACACATCCTTGCACAAAACAATAATCTCCTTCACACTCTGTTAACACTGGAAAGGGTAAAGAAAGGGGCATAGTTACGTGATATTTGGAAAAAAATCAACTTCTCTGTGGCAGGACCCACCTAACTAAGGACAAGGCTGACTTCTGCAAGAACAGCCAATTCCTCAGCTGGGCACACATGAATAAGAATGCCTAGATTTCTCATCTGTTCCTTCTCTGATTTTACCAGGACAAAGTCTACCAAAGCCGCACATGCTCAAGACACCTAGTCTTGTCTCCAGACCATTCACATCTTGTATATGCAGACACTAGAAAATTAACCTGTCAATATAGATTGGGCCACATCCACAAGATTCAATAGTTCCTGTCTTCAAGAAACATCACAAGCCTTATGAAAATTTCTCTTGTCTTCATAGAACCAAACAAAATTACCAAAATTACCCATTCAGAATACAACTATAGTCACCATAAGTGGGGGAAAGCCCACCTGGTTACACTACAGAATTGCACAGCATCTGTAGCAAAGGACATTGTTGTCGGTAACTTTTTTATTTAAATTAGTAACAATCTTATTTTATAAATATCAATCTCAGTTCGATCTCCATCCCATCTTCCCTTGTCCTGCACCAACTCCCATTAAAACCCTCTTCTACTCCATAGAATTTTGGTGACATTTTCTTCTGAGATAATCTCTATACTATTTGAAATGAACTGCCAGGTACATAGATAAGGAAAAAAGGAAATTGTTCCACACTGGATGATGGATCATGTAAATTTACAGTACATGGTGTTTCCTGCTGTATCTCATCCAAGTTCTCTTCCAAATTCTGTTAGCTCCAACCAAAAACTAAGCATTAATGAAGTCCAACATAGTCTCAGACATGAAAAAGCAGCCATTTTCAAATGCTGCTGTGCACCTCCCACAGTAAAATGACTCCTACCTGAAAGAGGAAAGAATATAGGACCCTAGAAGAAAGTAAGATTAGTATCCACCAAAAAACCCTTTAAACAAAATACATGCTAACCATTTGTTTGTTTTTCCAGACAGGGTTTCCTTGTGTAACAGTACTAACTATCCCATAAATCACTTTGTAGACCTGGATGGCTAGAAGCATAAAGAGGTGCACCTGCCTCTGCCCCTAAGTGCTGGTTTCAAAGGGAGGGACAACAAACCTGGTTATGTGCTAATCAATTTTTGAGAAGAAATTAAATAATGCTCATGAGGACTAAGGAAGCTGTCTTTGGTGTTTCACATCTGGCCTCCTAATATGTAGGAATTGGCTACAAGAACAAAAGTAAAGTAATGAGGTCAAATCACAAACAAGCTAAAGAACAAAGTAAATTTCTTTCAAATTATCTTCCAAATTATATGAAATTATCTTTCAAATCAAGGGATTCATTGGAAATGTAAGAAGCAGATAGATGGTGCTGGTCAGCACATCAGTGGGTTGTATTGATCTTAAAATCATCAGGGCAAAGAGAATGGAAAATATTGGTGCACTGAATATCAGAACATGGAAAATGAAATTCAACATGTTGAAGACCAGTCAAAGAAGGTCATCCATGGAGACTTTGAAGGTGATGTCAGACTACGTTGTTCATGTGTCTATCCAATCAAGAGTCATATTACTGAGAAAGAAATAATCCTGAAGAAACAATAACAAAACATAATCTAATTCAACATCCTAAAAACAACAATTAAAAAGTTGGAGTGCTGTGGTGCTGAGAAAAAAAGCATTCATGGGTCAGGTGACAACTACATTTACACTGGCTCTCTACAGCCATTCCTCTTAATCTAACAAAAGGACACGGAAAAGAACAGAATATCCAGGCTTCTCATTCTGTGTTAAAATACTTCCTCTAATTTGAACCAGATCCGGGGAAATCTGGACAGCCTGCCTAGAGCCAAACAGGCTGTCTTTTTGTTTCTCTCAATACTATGCATCCATACTTGGTGTCCTAACTCCCTGGAAAACTGAACAAAACAGTCGGCTAATCTTATAAATATATGCAACATCTGTGTATAATACCATGAATGAAGTTTTGCACTTAATAGCAGAAATGCTATCCATTTTAACCTCAATGACAGGAATAATATGGTCAAAAATATACATGGATGTAGAAGAAAATCCTCAGATAATCACATTTAACAGGGTCAGAGTAACTGTTAAATCAATATCTGTGAGTTAAACATTGATAGACTTTAAACTAGGATAGAACTATATAACTACTATCTGAACTTTGCCTGTATCACTTCAACATTGTTGTCCAAATGTCATGTTGTACCATTTAGAAATGAGTAAGCTCCTTCCCACTGCATCCTGCTAGGCAAGAGTCCCAAAGAAAAGTCAGGGATGCAAAGGATCCCTGCTTTGTCAGCTCAGGTCACCAGTAAGGATTTGAAAGTTGCCTTTGTTCTGCCTGCCTTATAAAGACTGTGGCTTTGCTTCCCCAACACAGACTTGGGAGCAACTCTAGAGCCTCCTCCAAGATGCTGGTGGTCCTACTGACAGTGGCCTTGTTGGCCCTGAGCTCAGTTCAGTACTCAAATGAAGGTACAGAGTAGGGGAAAGGGTGGTACAGTGACATGGGGTTGGGAGGAATAGAAAAAAATGAATAAGAAACCGAGGCAAAGAATCAGGAGAACAAGTATTAGATCATTTACATTACTATTTTAACTCTAGAACTTAGACTTTACTTATAGTATAATATAATCATATAGTCTTGCAACAAAATAACATGAATGCATTTACGAAAATACCTTTTTGGTGGTGGGTGATGGAGGGCAATGTGCTACAGTTGACAGAGGGAAACACAGTTCTTAAGTTGCTATGAGAAGCAGAGGTGAACGATGCTGGGGTCTGTTCAGAGTACAGAGAAAAATGAAGGAAGTAAACATGTACCAGAGGTGTTTTTGAGAAGAGGAAAAAGATAATGAATTTGAAAGTCTGTACAAAATGAGCTTCAAATATTGTGAAATATTTTTTTAAAAAAATTATAGAACATGTGTGTGCTTGCAAAATTGTCAGGGTATGCACATACACACATGCATACTTGCATATATATATATACATATATATATATATATATATATATATATAGAGAGAGAGAGAGAGAGAGAGAGAGAGAGAGACTTTGCTTGCATATTCACATTCCAGTCCACATGATTAGAGGAACTGGATTCAAGTCATATGGCTTGTACATTTACCCACAGAGATATCTTGTGCACTTATTGCAATATTTTAATATCCCATAGGAAATATCCATTGTTGTACACATAGGATTTAAAGCAGTATTTATTCTCACTTCAATGCACATAATGCCTGTGGATATATCAAGAGGAAGTGTAGGTCAAGAAGAAAAACATAAATAATGTAAATCTGTGATATTGAAATTCCTAATTTAAATGAAGATTAACAGTAAGGTTTGTCAAAGATAATAAGGAACAAAATAGTGGTTGCTACGGATCATAGAAACCATTTGGCAGCGTTATCTGCAACCTTACCTAAGAATGAAATTCTTCTTCGTGGATGTGAAGCTGGGGTTAATGTCCTCTTCACTGGGAAGCCTGAAAATGTGATAATTAATTTAAACTTATTTTGTACTTATTTCTAGAGACCATCTATGAAGACACTTTTTTGCAACTCTCAGGTAAAGCCAGATTCATCCTCTATGGAACTTCTAGGCAAACTTTACTTTTCTCAATATTTGGCTCTGTAAATTATCTGTATCATTTGGTTATTTATGACATAGTGTGAGATAGTTTCCCCGGAGACATATAAGAAAGCTTCCCAACATCGTATCTAGGACCTTGAGTGGGAATATACACCGGAAGAGAAGAAATCCAGGTTTTATAAGAATAACATTTTGTCTCTCACCACATTGACTCAATGCCTTGCATGTTATGAGCATATTGGGTATCCTCATTTAAATGAAATCATGGCACTATGGCTTGCTCAAAGTATTCTTCATTCACCAGTGACTAGAAGTAGAATTATATGCTAATGCACTAGATACAGAATTACACACTCTCATGGTCTCCCATATTTTAAAAGTTAATTTTTACTCATTTCTGTAGCCACAGCTGAATAATACATAAAAATTCACTTCATAACAATTGAATGAAACATCTTTTCATCTTTTGCCTACATTTCTTTCTTATCCTCCACATGATTATAAGAACTTGAGCACCATGATATATTTAGGAATAGAGCATTGCTGTCAGTATTTTGCTATTCTGCCAAGTTCTAACCAGTGACATTAACAAATCTTTCCATTTTCTACACTTCTGTCTGAAAATTGAAAGGAACACAATATCCTCTTTTATGCACCGAATTTAAGAAAAATCTTTGTTCAAAAACTTGAGACACAAAAAAGATCAAATGTTGAATATAAAAGTAAGAAAAAGTACAACAAGGCACATAAAGTTGGGGGGTGTTGTGAGAAAGAGAAGGTGTGAGTCCCTCTTCTATTGATCTCCACCCATGCAGAGGAAGAGCAGCAAAGACAGGGCCCTGGTCAACCTTATCAGAGACCCCCACCTGGAGAATTACCCCCGAACCCTTCTGCATCTGATGAAGAGGGTGATGATGACGGTGAAGGAGAAGGAAATGCACCTGAAAGACCACCCCAGCAGGGAGATGAGCACCAGAAACCTCGCCCTCCTAGACCTGGAAACCATCATGGAGGCCCTCAGCATGATCGCCCTCCTAGACCTGGAAACCAGCAAGGTCCACCCCCTCAGGGAGGCCCACAGCAGAACTGCCCTCCTAGACCTGGAAACCAGCAAAGTCCACCCCCTCAGGGAGGCCCACAGCAGAACCAAGGCCCTCAACCTGGAAACCCGCAAGGTCCACCCCCACAGGGAGGCCCACAGCAGAACCGCCCTCCTAGACCTGGAAACCAGCAAGGCCCACCCCCACAGGGAGGCCCACAGCAGAACCGCCCTCCTAGACCTGGAAACCAGCAAGGCCCACCCCCACAGGGAGGCCCACAGCAGAACCGCCCTCCTAGACCTGGAAACCAGCAAGGCCCACCCCCACAGGGAGGCCCACAGCAGAACCGCCCTCCTAGACCTGGAAACCAGCAAGGCCCACCCCAGCAGGGAAGTGAGGAACAGACAAATTACCTGTAGACATTTTATGCATGACCAAGAGGTTCCTCAGTAGTACAAAGGTAATAACATATGTTATCCTTCACACCAGCTCCCTAACTCTAGAGATCAGCACCCTCTTTCTAAAGGCAAAATCATATATACATCCAAAAATTAAATGGCTCCTATAACCTGGAATTCTATAATGGCTGTGATTTAAATTCACTCTGCATCAAATGCTTTAACTAAAGGAATTACAAATCCATAGAAAAGAAAAAGATACTTCAGGAAACGTTGGAATTGCCCATTGTGTTTTCCTCTCCCTGACCTTTTAAAATTTATTTATTTCAGGTGAAGTAGAAGACAGATAGCTTTAATGTCATTTCAATGGAACAATGATGTTGTAAGTGTACTTTCAACATTCTAATAAAGCATTTAGCATGCAGTTACTGTTTGCTGTTTCTTCTTCTGAGCATGAGTAGTGAAATCTGGGGCATGTGGCCACATGCAAGGTGATGATAGACCCATTCATTCACTCACTTATAGAAGGGCCCCACTTTCTCCCTTTACCAATCAGTCATCCATCACTTAAGAGACTCCCTTTTTTCTCTCTTACCTGCAGTTCTACCCACATCTTTGCTGTATTTCCCAGACTCTTGTGATGGTAGCAGGAGACTTCACAAAAGACATGGATTTCAAGATTAAACTACACAAACAGATTAAACTACATAAACAGATTAAACTACATAACATGATCTGGGTATGCCATGTCCCTTGTTTTAGCAGTACATTTCAGAATACCTGCAAAAGGGGTCTTTGTTTCTCACAGGTAACATGCTCTTAGTTCAAAATTTACATGTGAGGTAGCACCTGTTCCTGCAGCTAATATTCTATGGGCATTCAATACCAACAAGCTCACATTCTTTCTCTGATTTGGACAATGCGATACACACAGTGGTGTCTAGGGGACATGATGCCCATTCTCTTCTTTGCCCTTTGTTTTTTTTATAAATATCATATACTTGGCCCTTAGGACAAATGAAAATTTTAAATTGTTTTAGTATATTTTGGAACAGTCTTTCAATCTAATTTTGTTGGGTTTGTAATTATACATACATTTTGCTTTACCTTTTGTTGAATTTTAATTAAAAAGTGAAAAGATAAAATGTATAGAAGTTCTAGTGGCTGAGGACTCCTTAAAATTCCCATAATATTTGTGCCCTAATTCATAGAAGCTGAATTTGCTATTCTTTGAATGTTTTGTTTGAGTTTTATTCCTTCAGCATGATCAGATCCTTCTTCCTGTCCATTCACACAATATTTTATGAAAACTTGGGTGACTTTTTTGGTAGTCAGACAGTAGTGGATTCTCGGAAGTGTAAATTTGGGTCATTCAGACATGTTGACATTCAGTTTGCTGTTTCTGTAATTCTTTGGATGGCCACAAATACACTATAGCAGTGAGAAGTATAGATGGAATGCCAGGATTTGTTAAGGTCTGTATGCAGTATCATAGACCCATGCTAACCATGTTCATCTACATTATTCGTGAAACTGTATATTCTAGTGAAACCACTCACTTTCATGATTGTCAGCATCCTCAATGATTCATCAAACACCCTGTGTTCCATATGAGTCCTCTGTTTACTTATAAGCAGGATTTATAGGCCTAAAACAACAGTGTCATCAACCCGAATGACTATAACATTTCATTCATAATACAGGAGGGATATTCCTTGGGAAAGTCTCAAAAAAATCAGGAACCTACCAAATTTACTTGAAAGACATAGTTTGGTGTTAGATGTAGGAAAGGGTTTGAAAAAATTCATTATATAAATCCAAAATAGGCAGTTCTGTGGTGGTGATGGTCTTAAATTAGTCCCATTACTTGGGAGGCAGTTGCAGGTGGATCTCTGTTAATTTGAGGCTAGTCTTGTCTATAAAGGGAGTTCCAGGACAGTCAGGGCTATTAAACAGAGAACCTCTGCCTCAACAACCCCAAAAAAGAAAAACATTGTGGAAATAAATACATTTTAAAGTCAAGAATACATGAATATACAATACCACAAAATACTCAAGTGGAAAAATATTATGAGGAAAAAAATGCTTTCAGGAAAATACCTACATTTAGCTCATTCTAAGCCCAAAACCAAACTGAAGACTGTCAACACAAGGAAGAAAAATTCCTTTCTTAGTTTCTTTGTGTTTAATAACTTAGTACCATTATTTATTTTAATCTTTATATGATTTATTCACCTAATATTTGATAATTTCACACATGTATGCATTGACTGTATCCATCCACAAGTTCTCTATATCTCCTGACACAACTGACATGTAATTCAATATCATTTTTTCATATTTATATCTATACATGTCTATACAACTGTTTCATCAAGTGCTTGTTTGACTTGTTTGAGCCCTGGACTCAAACTCCAGCATATAAATGAATAAATCATTTTGCTTGTTACAAATTAAAGTTTTAAGGAAACTATATTTATGCTTTCAGATAAATATTCCAACATGATTTTGTGGTTTTTAACACATCAAGCATTACTGTTCTCTGAAGTTCTTTTAACAGCAGAAATCAGTCAGCATGTGTTTTCTACTTTTCTTGTAGTTGCCTGACATAAAGTAACGTGAAGGTGGCATATTGTGTCATGTGTCACATTCATAATGCACAGTATGATCAAATCAGGTGAAGATGATTAGGTCTAACCCTTTTGTGTTTTATTTATTTTATGTGAATGAGTTTTGCCTATTTGCATGAGTGCATACCACATGCACATAATGCCTAGTATGTCAAAAGAGAATCCACTGGAACCAGAGTTATTAAAAGGTATGATTCACCACATGGTTGGCCAGAGCTAAACCCAGGTCCTTCAAGGAAGAGTTACAAATAGTCTTACATGCTGATGTATTTTGGCAGCCCAAAAGAAATAGTAACTGTTAACATGAGTTCTTTAAATAGAGAGAATATTTTACACAAACAAATGCATATACAAATTGTGTCCTAATTAGGGAATATTCTCATCCTCTAAATCCCAGAATCCTTGTTGTCTGAAAATAACATCAAGGTATAAATGAAGAATATGCATATCCTGGGCTCTGATTAAAGTATATTGTTGGAATTGAAGGAACATATATGGTGTATCTAAGCAATTAAGTGGATGATCAGAAAAAAAATAGCATCTGTCTCCCCAAAACTACTTCACATAGAGACTTCGAACTATTCCATCAAAGGAAATAATGGTTACTGAGTCCAGTAGTAAGATCTTAAAGCTGTGTGTATATAATACTCTTGGCAGTTTCATAGACACCCTGTCACAGGCCAAATCTCTCAAAAAAGTTACAAGAAGAATAGAAAGGACAGTCCCCTGAGCAACTAGGTGGTTGAAAAGATGATTGATTTCATTCCTCTCTCAAAATACTAGTTTCCATGAAAAATAAACTGTTCCAATTTAGGAGATGCATAATGAAAGACTTTGTATTTGCTATAATGTGGTGGTAATTCATTGAACACACCCTAACTTTCCCATTTTGGATGATGCAAAAATAAGTTCCAAGAAAAAAAAACATAAGATTCATATTGCCACAGTATTTAATTATTGTTAAAAAATAGTGCCAATTTGGTTAACAAAACTATGGAGTCTGCATTAAAATCTAATTTAATCAAATAATATAGTATATGCTAATCAAGTTGCATTTATATATTTATATAGATATCAATGATTTATTGAATATGAGGAAATGAATTTGTGAGAGAGAGAAAGGCAGGATACATGGGAGGATTGAAAGGAGGAAAGGCAAGGGTGAAATGATGTAATTACACTTTAATTTCAAGAAGGTTGATATTCATATAAAGACATTTGTCCTTGTGTGTAAGAGGTAATTTTATGTCTCCTGAATCCCAGAACTAGCAGAATAGGGGGCACAAGGAGATGAGAAATATCAAGACTTAAAAAGTTTCAAATTTGAGAAAACATAAGATATTTGCAAAAGTTTGTACACTATCATTGGTGTTCCTATGAAAGAAAAACATACTATTTGTAGCTTACACTCAAGTAGCTTCCATTCTTCTCATGGATATGAATGATGGACAATGCAGTGTAGGTACCATTTTCTCATTACTTTCACACAAAGCATAGAGCAAAGACAGCTTTCTGTATGAGGACGAGTCTAATATCAGTGAATTTGCAAGAAACACACTTCCATAAATACTCACATTAGATTCTGATTTGAAATTAAGTATTTTGAGAAGAAAAATACTTAGATTAGTATGAGGAAAAATGTAATGAGAATTTTCTCAAAAATATCCCAGTCAAATACATGATAATACTAACAAATATAAACTGTTGAAGACTAATGCAGTGGAACAGATTTTTCTACACAAGCTAAAAGAGTAAGTGAAAACAGAAAACATCCAAAATTAGCAGAGCAATCAGGAAGAAGAACCATGTTTTAAAAAGCCTGCTGAGGAAAGTAAAAGGAAATTAAATTTCATATTCCTGTGACAAATTGATGGATGATGAGTTAGTTTGTTTGGCAGAGAATGTCAAGACAGGAAAGTTTTATAAATATAAAATACAGGCTGGTTGTTTTGGGAAAGGAGCTAAAGTAAAAGTGTCCTCAGAATAAGCATTCTTTTACTATTAATTTTTGTTAAATTAAAAACAATCTTATTAGATATACAAATCCCTGCTCCCTCTCCCTCCATTCCTCCCTCCCGCCTATCCAAACCCAAGGGATTGTGAGGCCTTCAATGGGAGATCATAAATATCTGACACACCATTTGGGGAAGGACCTAGCCCCTCCCTCATGTATGTAGACTGAGAGAGTATCCCTCCATAGGGAATAGGCTCTCAAAGCCCATTCCTGGATTAGTGATAAATACTAGTTCCACTGCCAGAGGACCCATAGACTCCCCAGGGCTCCCAATAGACAGGTGGTCTGGTTTGGTCAGAATGGAGTCTGTGAGCTCCCCATATACTCAGGTCAGTCATTTCTGTGCATTGCCCCAATATTGCATTGAACCCTTTGTTCAACATTCCTCTCTTGCTGCACCTGGAATCCAGGAGTTCAGCTCAGTGCTTAGCTGTGAATCTCTGCTTTTGCTTTCAGCAGGAACTGGGGAAAGGCACTGTTATGCCATTTAAGGAAGTCATCAGTCTCATTATAGGGGAAGGGTACTTAAGGTAGCCTCTATTGCTTAGATTCTTAGACACAAGCATAAACAACAGAATACATGAGATGGAAGAGAACATTTCAGGTGTTGAAGATACACTACAGGAAATGGATTCATAGAACAAAGAAAATCTTAATTCCAACAATTCCTTAACACAAAATATCCAAGTAATACGGGACACTGTGAAAAGACCAAACCTAATAATAATAGGTACAGAAAAGACAAAGAACCCCGGCTCAAAGGTGCAGAATGCATACTCAACAAAACCATAGAAGAAAACTTTCCCAACCTAAAGAAGGACATGCCTAAGAAAGTACAAGATAAGCTTTCTTAGAGTGTATCTCAGAGCAATGGGGCAGGGACAACATTGGTCCTTGAAGTGGGGTAGGAATTAAGAGAGATAGAACATCATCACAGAGACAATACAATGACATCTTGAAGGGCGAGAGTATTTTCTCTATAAAAAGCTTGAAAGGAATTTCATTAGGAGAGATAACTTAATGTGGGAGACTATAGGAGACAGTTGTCATCAACAGTATTGTGGGACTCTAGCAGGAACAGACTGACCCATCCATTTTCAAAGAAACAAAAGAGGTTTTCATGGGATGACTGAAGAAATATCTACTCCACATGATTTAGTCTGGGCTGATGCACATTCGATGATTCACACAGGAAGGAAGTACTTAGAGAATGATAATTTTATGGAAGAGCAGATATGCTTGTTTTTTGCTTTACCACTTGGGCATGTGATTCTGCTACATATTATATAAAAGACTTTGTTGTACAAGTGTGACTACTTCAGTACAATTTCCAGAACCCAAATGAAATTTAGGAGAACCAACTTCAGAAGGATGTTCTAACTTCTGCATATGAGACATGCTGTGTATCTGTCTGTGTGTGTACATGCTCAAGTGCATACTGCATGCACATCTGAACACACATACACAACCAACAAATATATAAAATTCTAGGTAAAATTTTCTCCTCACTCTGACCTTTCCAAGACTACAAATAAAGTTTTCTTTGAATCAGAGAGAATTAGCTACTAACTGAAATGTATTTAAAAGTAGAATCAAATGCATTTTAAGATCATTTCTTAAAATGATTAATTATTGTTAAACACATATATGCATATGTAAGTGTAAACTGGTCAACACACATATAAGTCCATTTATAAATATAACCTGGTGAGTCTGCTTGACTCTGTGTGTGTGTGTGTGTGTGTGTGTGTGTGTGTCTTCTGTCTGTCTGTCTGTGTGTCTGTCTGTCTGTCTGTCTGTGTGTCTTTATGCATAAGAGCACAGGTATTTTTAAGGTCAAAGGGTGATATTCATTGCTCAGGAGCTTAAGTTACAGGTGATTGTGAGACACTCAGTGTAGATACTTGGAAGGGAACTCAGCCGCTCTATCAGAAAAGGACAGGCGATTACCCTCCAAACCACTTCTCTAGCCCCCCAGATGCACTTTTCTTTAGGCAGTATAACAAGTTCATGAAAAATAAAAGTGGTTCTAATGTTGAACCCATGGTGAAATGGCTTTCATTTCAGAGGAATTATTGTTAGGTGCTAAAAGTTAAGGTTCCCCAAACACAGAAAGGACTAGATTTTCTATTAAATTTCTAATGATCATTACCTCAGAGTATGATTGTTTGTCCATTGTCAATTGAGAGTATAAGAATCAAAATTAGGTGTTTAGAACATGAAGGCTTATAAGAGTATGTTGACAAAGGGACATAAGAAACCCATGAGTACAAGGGATATTTTATGGTCACATGGCTTTAAGGTTTCCTTCGGGAATCAGAGAAGTAGAATGCTAAGAAAATATACCTTGTAGCACAATCTGTGTATGATTTATTGCAGACTCTTTGAAAAAGAATATGAAGTAGTGGAAAACAGAAGGTAAAAGTTGTGGATTCTATGGGAGCTATTATGTCCAAGTTACACATTCCAGACATGGATGACTTAAGCAATTTAATGTCCTACAGGTCATGAAGAGCCTGGGGCATGCTGCCTGTCATTTAACCTCACCTTTACTGAATGTCTTTTGGGTGCGTTGTTCCATGACTTGTTTTGATTATGCCTCATGAGTTCATAGGTGATATTTTGGGGAGAGTTAACAAAATGGTCTGTTTGACACATGGTCAACACTGAAGAGGTTTAAGGAAAGACCAAAATGTTTGCAACATTTCAGAGAATCTGCTGTTCTTTTCTAGGATGCACCAAGCCAAGGACAACGCTGCCATCACCCTACAACTGCCTTTTCCATAATACACACATATCAGCAAATGTACCTAGCTATCACTTATGCCTCTTGTCTCTGACTTCACTTTCCTTCCTCAAAGTCTAAAACTGGTCTTTGGGTAAGGACCACCTAAAATGAATATAGGAGCTTAAGAAAAGCATATAACTGCACTTTACCATCCAAAGTGTGCATGGGACACGATTTCTCAGACTAAAATAACCACAGAAAATTTGCCAAGTGATAATATATTCTGCTTTCATAATGCAGCATTGATGAATTTGGAAAAAGTCATCAGACATTGTATTTCCTCAGTTTCCACAATATCTATAACAAGCAATCAAGTCAATTAGGCCTCATGTAATAGTGTCAACACTTAGGGACATAGAGAAGCAGCATGAAAATTCATGAATTCATAGCACAGGACACATGGGACACAGGAAAGGGGCTCTGTCTTAAGATGCACAATTACATGGCCCTCAGTGATTTACCTTCATCCAAAGTCTCTTAAAATTTCCTCCATACCTACACAGAGGGAGACACACACACACACACACACACACACACAGAGAGAGAGAGAGAGAGAGAGAGAGAGAGAGAGAGAGAGAGAGAGAGAGAGAGAGAAAGAGAGAGAGAGAGGGAGGGAGAGACAGACAGACAGACAGACAGACAGACAGACAGACAGACAGAGACAGAGAGAGAGAACATAATTTGAGCTGAAAAATTACACAGGTATTGTACTAGGTCAATCATGAAAAGACTTTACTCTATGCATGTTAATAATAATGTTCAGGACATTCTATAAAGAAACAAAAAGAACGATAGCAACCAAATGATGGCTTGTAGAGTGTATAAAGCCTTGTCTCAAAGTATTAAAATTTAAAATTAAAATGAAACAACACAAAGGTAATATTACAGGTACCTATGTGGTAGATCTCTATGATCACCACATTTAAATAAATTGGCGTGAACAGCAAAATTAGGGCAAACTACGACCAGTTATAAAAGTAAAACCAAACAGAAACATGAAGTAAACACTAATACAAAGATGAAGGAAAGGGATTCAGGGAGAGGGCAAAAGACTATGAGATGATAATTACTGGGATGGTTGCTAGAGATCACAAAATATCCAGGAGGAATTTCTATTAGATCATTGGTAACAAAACTACAAACAATGCACTATGCTGCTGATGAAGATGAAGATAAAAATTCAACAGAGAGTCCAGCACAGCAAGGAGGAAGTCAGCAGCATTTTCACTCTCCTCCTGCACTCATTCAGCTTAGTAAGGCCCACTCAACAAAAAAGCCACCAGCAGAATCACCTTCTTCATAGTGCCAGCAAAAGCCACATAAGCATGAAGGAAATGTTGACCAAGTTATAATATGAAATTTTCCCATGGACAGGAAACATGGTGGGACCACGGCACTGGACCAATCAGAAGCATCAGCTCCTATTTGTAGCAAGAATAATATAAACCCAAAGACAGGCATTGGGTTTAACTAAATATCAAAAAATCAAAGCAGCAAGTCACTAGCTATTAGCTCTACCTCAGACCGAAACAGTGATCCTAGCTCCATAAAACTACACCATGAGTGGAGACTGTACACCTGTTCTCAGACCCTTCTGCTGTCTTATATACCTCTCTAGTACTAGGACTAAAGGCATGTACTATTACTGCCCACTCTATGGATAACTAGTATGGCTGCTGGACTTGAAGACCTGCCTGGCCTCTCTGGCTGTGGATAGCTTTGCTTTCTGATCTCCAGGCAACATTTATTAGATCATTAAAAAAATATATCACCACAATTCCCCTTTTTGTCCATTACAAAAAGCTATAACTAATGTAAGAAAAAAACATGTACAGTAAGTAACATAATAATATGTAATATATATTGGCAATCAGTACCTCAACAACATCAAGTCCATTTGCATTTGACAAATTCAGAGAAAATACTCCATAATCTAGCCTATCTCACTGAACCCAAAGTCTTGTATCTAATTACTTTCTCTTCTAATTTGCATTAACCAATTATTTGTTATATATATATCGAACTTTTATACTTACACCACTTTAGTTAATTTCTCTTCTGTGTCTGGTAAAAAGTTAAACAATAACTCTACTGGTCTAACCTTCAACTTTCTTATAGACCCAAGAAGGAAATGATATTAATAGTAAGCAGGAACTGTGAGCAAGTGAATCCCCCCAAAATATAAGAAAGAACAAAGACAGCTTGTTGCTAGACAGTCACCAAAGGTTCTTCTGCAATGCTGGTGTATTGATCTTTGGCCTACAACCCTAGCATATCTGACAGACCTTTCTGTGAAGCAGGATTTTTGAAGGACTGTCCATACTTGTCTTGGAAAGGTTTTGAAGTCACTTCCTTTTGTATCCTGCTTGTCCAATTTGGACAGCTATTGTAGCCGAGATTGTCTCAGTCCCAAACCACAGAAGCCATGAGGTCTGGCCTGAGTGGGAGAGTGTGGACTTGGAAATTCCTAGCAACTCAACAGCAATAAGGACCAGACACTGGCATCTTGTCATCTTTGGAAAGCTCTCAGTTCCAGGCTGCAAACTGAAGTCTCCCATTAATTCCAGCATATTCCTCAACTGCTTTATAACCATTCTCCCCTGACCACAGACGATTTCTCTTCAACCTCTCTCTAGACCTTATCCCCAGGTACTCAAAACCATCTCTCCTCACAAAGACCTAGCCCTCTTATCTGGTACAGGCCTATTCAAATGCTTAGTTCTGTAGAGATGCAAAACTAGGGGACATTCTCCACTGAGGCTATGTGATTCAACCGCAAATCAGCTAGCATCTGCAATATAATGGAGCCTAGTACTCCCAGATACTGGAACCAGAGATCTAGACCCTGAGAAATTCTCTAATAGCATAATTTTTGACTGCCAACAACTCCCTTCTCTTAAATTAATAAAAAAGAAACCCGTGCTTCTGAAACGGGACAGAAGACTTGCCTGGTTTAGTGGCTCCCTTCAACCTAAGGGAGCCCGTCAAGGAACCATGCATTCTGTCATGCATGTTCTCTCTTAGGAATCATCGGAGGCATGGAAAAAAACTTTCCTGTGTCTGGCTGGAACCAGTTGATGTAGCAAAGAAGATTAATGGGGGATAGGCCATGGTCCAGCTCTGTATGTTCCTGAATCAGAAAAATCTACCCAGTAGTAGCACCTGAGCTCCTGCAGCTGCAAACTTTCTCCAAATTCAGTGGGATCCAAAACACCCAGAGACTTCCAAGGACCCAGGAATTGTCTTGCCTCCTTCCAGGAGAAGAGGACTGACATCAGAGTATTGGATCAGTTTACATCTACCAGAAGGGAACCATGGAACGGTACCTACCAGGAGAGTAAGAGACTCCTGATACACCCTCCAGAAGAAAGGATGGGAAGAAGACAATATTCAACAACAGAAAAACCAATATGACACCACCGGAGACTAGGGAGCCTACAACAACGAGACCTGAATATCACAATGCAGATGAAGCAGAGGAGAATGACCTTAAAAACATCTTCATGAAAATGATAGAGGGCCTCAAAGAAGATATGAGAAAATCCCTTAAAGAAATGGAAGAAAAAACAAACCAAAAAATACAAGATATCAACAAATCTTTCAAGGAAACAGTTCCAAGACCTAAAAAATGAAATAGAGACAATAAAGAAAGCACAATCTGAGGGGATGCTGGAAATATAAAAGCTGGGTAAAAGATCAGGAACTACAGATGTAAGCATTGCCAACATAATACTAGAGATGGAAGAGAGAATCTCAGAAGTTGAAGATACACTAGGAGAAATAGACTCATCAACCAAAGAAAATCTTAAGTTCAACAAATCCCTAATGCAAAATATCCAGGAAATATGGGATACCATGGAAAGACCAAGGCTAAGAATAATAGGTATAGAAGAAGGTGAGGAAATCCAACTCAAAGGTGCAGAAAACATGTTCAACAAAATCATAGAAGAAAACTTTTCCAACCTAACAATAGACATGCCAATGAAAGTACAAGAAGCCTACAGAACACCAAATAGAGTTGACCACAACAAAAGGTCACCTTGCCACATAATAATCAAAACCCCAAACATACAGATGAGAAAATATTAAGAGCAGCAAAGGAAGAAGGTCAAGTAACATAAAGGCAAACCTATCAGAAATACACCTGACTTTTCCATGGAAACTCTGAAAACCAGAAGGCCCTGGATACATATTCTACCTACACTAGGAGACCATGGATGCCAGCACAGACTACTATACCCAGCAAAGCTTTCAGTCAATATAGATGGAGAAAACAAGATATTACATGACACAACCAGATTCAAAAAATACATATCCACCAATCCAGCCCTACAGAAAGTTCTGGAAGGAAAACTACAACCCAAGGAAGTTAACCACAACCAGAAAAATATATGCAATACATAATCCCACTTGACTGACAGCCAAAAGAAAAGAGGGGTTGAAACCCACACACAATTTCACCAGCAACTCCAAATCCAAAACAAACAAGAATGAACAATCAATGTTCGTTAATATCCCTCAATATTAATAGTCTTAATTCACCTATAAAAAGACACATGTTAGCACAATAGATAAGAGGACAGAATCCATCCAGACCAGCCTGGTGCATCCCACAGAAACAGCTGACCAGAACAATGGGGAGCTCTTGTTCCCCAGACTGATAGCTGAGAAACAAGCATGGGAAATCCAGACCCCAGGAATGTGGGTGTCAGTGAGGAGACCTTGGAAATCCACAGGGCCTCCTGTAGTAGATCAGTACTTATCCCTAGCATAGGTGTGGACTTTGGGTTCCCATTCCACATAGAGGGATACTCCCTGAGCCAAGACACATGGGGGTGAGCCTAGGCCCTATCCCAAAGGATATGACAGACTCTGAAGACCCCCCTATGGAAGACCTCGCCTTGGGGAGCAGAAAGGGTATGTGATATGTAGGATTTCAGTTAGGATGAGGAGGGGAGGGAGATAGAACTGGGATTGACAGATAAAACAATCTTGTTTCCAATTCAAATAAAAAAATGGAAAAAAAATAGTATGTCAATCCCAGCTAAGTTGTTTCTCCCTATATTCAATTGTTCTTTTTTTAAATTATCCATTGCATAATCATACAGGGACCTAACTATCTCCATTGTAATAGTGTTTCCCATTTTAATGTGGGTAAATACTCTCTTTCAATTAATTCCTCTATTTAAGATTTCCCACCTGTCTAATCAATCTGCTGACAATGTCTATTCAGATGATGGTGAATGTGAATCAGACTGATGCTGCATTGAACAGTAGAAACCTCAGCATCTTTCAAGGAGGCTGTCTAGTTCAGCAGTAGCCTGAGAAAAGAGTCTAAGGTGCTCAGGGAAAGCCAATAATCCACTAGAAGGAAACAAGCCAAAGAAGCTGCCTGCATAGCGGAACATAGGAAAGTGGCTAACTCCTGTGGTTTTTGGAGCCCAAAGGCTACAGATTTTGCCACAGAGAGCCCCCATAGAAATATTTCACACCTGCTCAGAGTGCTTGGGAAAAAGAAAGGGAAATCTAGTTGGCTAGTCAAGGACTCACAGTTTTTTGGGAAACAAGTCTTTCAGACTATTCAATGATGAAGGCAAATGCAATTGTATCACTCCTAAATACTCACAGTCAGACTCGATAAAAACAAAAAGGAAAAGTTAAATGGTAGTCAGTGGAAGAGTTTTTCAACTACAATGCAAAATGTCAATAAAAAAAAAACATAAGAAATAAGTTAAAACCAGAGGCTTCACATTTTGAAAATGTTGAAACACAATCAATCACCTCTCAGGATTTACATCTTGATTATTCTACAAGTGTAAAAAGAGACAAAAAAATACAAGAATATTATAGAACTTGCAAGTTGTCTACATAGTTTTAAGAATGACAAAATGTAATGTTTACATCTTGTAAAAATGATAATAAATCAACTTAATATAATAATAAAGATGAAATGTGGAGATGGTAATAAATACAAGGATGCAGTATATTTTAGTTCTTGTCTTGAGTTGCAAAATATGGTTTATGGTTGATATGGAAAATATGTTACTAGTTGATACGACACAGAAAAATTTCAATGTACACAAAAAATAAACTATCCACCTGCTGTCCTTGATAGCCTGGTTTCAGGAGAAATGTTATGACAAGAAAAGTATTTAAATCTTCTTTTGTGAAATTAAAAATTATTATATAGAATAGGCCAGGCATGGCAGTACATGCATTAAATCACCACATTTGAGAGACAGAAGAAGGCTGATGTGTGAGTTTGAGACCATCCTAGTCTATGGAGTGAGTTTCAGGACTACAGAGAGAAACCCTGTCTTGAAAAAATAATAATAATAATAATAATAATGATAATGATAATGTATTTTAATAAACCCAATGCTTCCCACATACTTTACTTCTGTATTACAAAATGTAATTAGGTATTATATTATATTTCTTAAAAATAAGGAAAAGAATGTGTAAATATATTAAACAGAGAGCTACATTATGAATATTCTGACTTTTTTGTGGTTGAATGAAAGTGTTTGAAACCAAATGATATGGGGCTTGTTGGTTTTTTAGAAATTTTAGAAATTTCTACTAAGATGGGAGCACAAAAACATGGTGGCACAACCCTGCTCAAAATTATACTCAGTGTATATTAAGAACAACTGTGGTATAGGCACAAAAACATAATTAATAGATTTAATTAAATGACAGAAATGAACCCACAAGAGTGCTGTGACACAAAAATTTGACAAAGCTGTCAAAATATTCATTTCAGAAAAGACTGTTGTCAACAAATACTTCTGGTAAAAAGCGTACATCTACATGCAGAGAAATCAAAGTAGATAAATATCTACACCCTACACAGAACTCAGCCCAAATTTAATCCACTTTAATGCAATCTTATCTTAGTGAAATCCAGAAACTATGCTACAATTCAGGAGCATGCAGGGAACTTCGAGGTATGTACCTAGAACATTCCGAAAAGTATTTAAGTAGAAAATAAAGCCCTAAAATGGGCAAAAGAGATTTGATGAAATCAAAGAGTTCCACACAGAAAAAGAAAAAATAAGCAGAGGAAAATAAAAACATTTGTCACATATGTATCAGATGGGAGGCTAATATTCAGAATGCACAAAAGTCTCCATTTGTAGAAGTTAAACACGAAACATTGAAAGGGCATTTCTCTGATATTCTTGGTTATGAGAAGTCTTTAATGGCTGAACCATCCCTCTAGTCTTGAATGGATATGTCTCCATAAGAAAATTAAAAATGTTTAATAAATATTTTTATAACTGTTCAACATTCTGGGTTTTCATAAAAATGTAGTTTAAAACAGTGAGGTTATCCCATTTGGTATCAGTCAGAACAGTCATTATGATTCAAGAGAAGAACAACAAATTCTGCTGAGAATGTGAGCAAACAGGAATTCCTTGAGAGATAAAATGGTGTGACAAGCAGAATTTATCCTGTGGACATCAATACTGAAGCTTCACAAAGTTAAAACTAGAACTTGCATATGTGCTGGTCCCATATTGTGGGTATGTTCAGGAGTTCAGCAATAAACAGAACATGAAAATGTGTTTATATTGCCATGAATTTGAATTCTCCATGAATGTAAGCAGAACATGTACAGGCAGATCATGTGGAAAAGCCAATCTTCAGTTGCTTCAACTACTAAAGTTCCTAAGAGCCTGTTTGATTTATGTTTATTACTGAAATTTCCATAAACAGCTGTCATTCTCATTTGTCTCAATACTGTCATTCATGATTGATGTTGTAACTCTTTGCAAAACTGAATAATGAGAGATAGAAAGATACATAGGTATGTACCACCTTTGTATAATACCAGAAATGGGATTTTTCACTTAATACCAGAAATATAATCCATCTTTAACATCAATGACAGGAATAACATAGACAAACATATACATGTATGTAGATGCCAATCCACTGACAATCACACCTAACATGGTGAGAGTAAATGTTCTGTCAATATCTGTGACTTTAAAAATGATAGACCTCAAACAATGGAAGAACTAAATATCTAATATGTGACCTTTGCCTTTATCACTTCAACACTGTTGTCCAAATGTCATGTAGTATCATTTAGAAATGAGACATTGATAAGCTCCTCCCAATACATCATGCTAGGCTACAGTCCCAAAGAAAAGTCAGGGATGCAAAGGATCCCTGCTTTGTCAGCTCAGGTCACCAGTAAGGATTTGAAAGTTGCCTTTGTTCTGCCTGCCTTATAAAGACTGTGGCTTTGCTTCCCCAGCACAGACTTGGGAGCAACTCCAGAGCCTCCTCCAAGATGCTGGTGGTCCTACTGACAGCGGCCTTGTTGGCCCTGAGCTCAGTTCAGTGCTCAAATGAAGGTACAGAGTAGGGGAAATGGTGGTACAGTGACATGGGGTTGGGAGGAATAGAAAAAGATGAATAAGAAACCGAGGCAAAGAATCAGGAGAACAAGTATTAGATCATTTACATTACCATTTTACCTCTAGAACTTAGACTTTACTTATAGTATAATATAATCATATAGTCTTGTAACAAAATACTGTGAGTGCATTTATTTTACGAAAATACCTTTTTGGTGGTGGGTGATGGAGGGCAATGTGCTACAGTTGACAGAGGGAAACACAGTTCTTAAGTTGCTATGAGAAGCAGAGGTGAACGATGCTGGGGTCTGTTCAGAGTACAGAGAAAAATGAAGGAAGTAAACATGTACCAGAGGTGTTTTTGAGAAGAGGAAAAAGATAAAAAGATAATGAATGTTGCTTGCATATTCACATTCCAGTCCACATGATTAGAGGAACTGGATTCAGGTCATATGGCGTGTACATTTACCCACAGAGACATCTTGTTGCACTTATTTCAATATTTTAATATCCCATAGGCAATATCCATTGTTGTGCACATAGGACTTAAAGCAGTATTTTTTCTCACTTCAATGCACATAATGCCTGTGAATATATCAAAAGGAATTGTAGGTCAAGAAGAAAAACATAAATAATGTAAACCTGTGATATTGAAATTCCCAATTTAAATGAAGACTAACAGTAAGGGTTGTCAAAGCTAATAAGGAACAAAATAGTGGTTGCTAAGGATCATAGAAACCATTTGGCAGCGTTATCTGCAACCTTACCTAAGAATGAAATTCTTCTTCGTGGATGTGAAGCTGGGGTTAATGTCCTCTTCACTGGGAAGCCTGAAAATGTGATAATTAATTTAAACTTATTTTGTACTTATTTCTAGAGACCATCTATGAAGCATTTTTTTTGCAACTCTCAGGTAAAGCCAGATTCATCCTCTATGGAACTTCTAGGCAAACTTTACTTTTCTCAATATTTGGCTCTGTAAATTATCTGTATCATTTGGTTATTTATGACATAGTGTGAGATAGTTTCCCCGGAGACATATAAGAAAGCTTCCCAACATCGTATCTAGGACCTTGAGTGGGAATATACACCGGAAGAGAAGAAATCCAGGTTTTATAAGAGTAACACTTTGTCTTTCCCCACATTGACTCAATGCCTTGCATGTTATGAGCATATTAGGTATCCTCATTTAAATGAAATCATGGCACTACGGCTTGCTCAAAGTATTCTTCATTCACAAGTGACTAGAAGTAGAATTATATGCTAATGCACTAGATACAGAATCACACACTCTCATGGTCTCCCATATTTTAAAAGTTAATTTTTACTCATTTCTGTAGCCACAGCTGAATAATACATAAAAATTCACTTCATAACAATTGAATGAAACATCTTTTCATCTTTTGCCTACATTTCTTTCTTATCCTCCACATGATTATAAGAACTTGAGCACCATGATATATTTAGGAATAGAGCATTGCTGTCAGTATTTTGCTATTCTGCCAAGTTCTAACCAGTGACATTAACAAATCTTTCCATTTTCTACACTTCTGTCTGAAAATTGAAAGGAACAAAATATCCTCTTTTATGCACCGAATTTAAGAAAAATCTTTGTTCAAAGACTTGAGACACAAAAAAGATCATATTGTTATATTGTTGAATATAAAATTAAGAAAAAGTACAACAAGGCACATAAAGTTGGGGGGTGTTGTGAGAAAGAGAAGGTGTGAGTCCCTCTTCTATTGATCTGCAGAGGAAGAGCAGCAAAGACAGGGCCCTGGTCAACCTCATCAGAGACCCCCACCTGGAGAATTACCCCCGAACCCTTCTGCATCTGATGAAGAGGGTGATGATGACGGTGAAGGAGAAGGAAATGCACCTGAAAGACCACCCCAGCAGGGAGATGAGCACCAGAAACCTCGCCCTCCTAGACCTGGAAACCATCATGGAGGCCCTCAGCATCATCGCCCTCCTAGCCCTGGAAACCAGCAAGGTCCACCCCCTCAGGGAGGCCCACAACAGAACCAAGGCCCTCACCCTGGAAACCAGCAAGGCCCACCCCCACAGGGAGGCCCACAGCAGAACCGCCCTCCTAGACCTGGAAACCAACAAGGCCCACCTCAGCAGGGAGGCCCACAGCAGAACCGCCCTCCTAGACCTGGAAACCAACAAGGCCCACCCCCACAGGGAGGCCCACAGCAGAACCGCCCTCCTAGACCTGGAAACCAACAAGGCCCACCTCAGCAGGGAGGCCCACAGCAGAACCGCCCTCCTAGACCTGGAAACCCACAAGGCCCACCCCAACAGGGAAGTGAGGAACAGACAAGTTACCTGTAGACCTTTTATGAATGACCAAGAGGTTCCTCAGTAGTACAAAGGTAATAACATATGTTATCCTTCACACCAGCTCCCTAACTCTAGAGATCAGCACCCTCTTTCTAAAGGCATAAATCATATATACATCCAAAAATTAAATGGCTCCTATAACCTGGAATTCTATAATGGCTGTGATTTAAATTCACTCTGCATCAAATGCTTTAACTCTAAAGGAATTACAAATCCATAGAAAAGAAAAAGATACTTCAGGAAATGTTGGAATTGCCCATTGTGTTTTCTTCTCCCTGACCTTTTAAAATTTATTTATTTCAGGTGAAGTAGAGGACAGATACCTTTAATGTCATTTCATTGGAACAATGATGTTGTAAGTGTACCTTCAACATTCTAATAAAGCATTTAGCAAGCAGTTACTTTTTGCTGTTTCTTCTTCTGAGCATGAGTAGTGAAATCTGTGGCATGTGGTCACTTGCAAGGTGATAATAGACCCATTCATTCACTCACTTATAGAAGGGCCCCTCTTTCTCCCTTTACCAATCAGTCATCCATCAATTGAGAGACTCCCTTTCCTCTGTCTTACCTGGAGTTCTACCCACATCTTTGCTGTATTTCCCAGGCTCTTGTGATGGAAGCAGGGCCTTATGGGGAATTGAAATTTTTAAATTGTTTTAGTATATTTTGGAACAGTTTTCAATCTAGTATTCTTGGGTTTGTAGGTATTCATACATTTTCTTCACATTTTGTGAATCTTAATTAAAAATTAACATATAAAATGGATACAAGTTGGGTGGTGATGGTCCAGTCCTTTAATCTGAACACACGGGAGGCAGAGGCAGGCAGATCTCTGCGAGTTCAAGATCAGCGTGGTCTACAAGAGCTAGTTCCAGGACAGCCTACAAAGCCACAGAGAAACCTGTCTCACAAAACAAAACAAAAAAATGTATAGAAGCTCTAGTGACTGCAGAATCCTTAAAACTTCCATAATGTTTGAGCCTAAGTTCACAGAAGCTAAATTTGCTGTTCTTTAAATGTTCTCTTTGAATTTTATTGCTTCACCAAGATCAGATGCTTCTCTCCCTCCATCCACACAATTCTTTATGAAAACTTGAGTGATTTTTGGAAGTAGCATAAGAGTGGATTCACAGAATTGAAAATTCTGGTCTTTCAGGCATATTTACATTCAGTCTTCTATTTTTGTTATTCTTTGGATGACCATTATTCCACTATAGCAGTGAGAAGTGTAGATAGAATGCTAGGATTTAGTAAGGTTCGTATGCGGTATCATAGACATATGTTAACCACATTCATCTACAACTTTAGTGAAACTGTGTATCCTAGTGAAACCACTCATTTTCATGATTGTCAGCATTCTGAATTATTCATCAAAATTCCTTGTGTTCCAGATGAGTGCCCTGCTTACTTTTTAGCAGTTTGTTGCCCAAAACAAGATTGTCACCAAACCTAATGACTATGACTTTTTCTTTCATAATTAGGGAGGAAAATATCTTTGGGAAGTCCTAAGAATATCTGGAACCTACCTAATTAACCTGAAAGACATAGGTTGGGGTTAGATGTAGGAAACATTTTGGAAAAAATCATCAAATAAACCTAATAATACGCAGTTCCCTGGTGCTGCAGGACTTTCATTAAGCACAGCACTTGTGAGGCAGAATCAGGTGGATATCTTGTAGTTTGAGGCCAGTCCTGCCTACAAAGAGAGTTCCAGGACAGTCAATTAAACAGAGAAACCCTGCCCCTGAAAAGAACAACATTGTGGTAATAAATACATGTTAAAAAACAATAATACATAAATAATCAATACCGTAAATTACTCATGTGGACAAATATTATTATGCAAAAGTGTTATCAGAAAAATACCTATGTTTAGCTCATTGTAAGCCAAAAAACTAAAAGGAAGACCCTTAAGACAGTAGAGAATAGTTTTTTTCATATTTCCTTTGTGTTTAATATCTTAGCATCATTGTCTATTTCAATCCTTTTTTGTTTTTGTCTTTTTGTTTTTATATATTTGAATTACAAACAAGATTGAATTACATGACAATCCCAGTTCCCTTCTCCTTCTCTTCATCCTCTACCACCCACCCAACTAAAATCCTACCTATCATATGTCTTTTCTTCTAATCTACACCTGACTCAACCTTTCTGCTTCCTCATGACCTCTGCATCCTTCCTTTTCTTCCCTTCTCACTCTCATAGCTTCCTTCCCCCTCTTCCCATGTTCTCAATTTGCTCAGGGGATGGTGACCCTTTCCCCTTCTCCAAGGAACAAAGTTTGTCTGTCTCTTTTAGGGTCCTCCTTGTTTACTAGTTTCTTTGGCAATGTGGATTGTAGGATGGTAATCCCTTACTCTGTGTCTAAAATCCACATGTGAGTGAGTACATATCATGTTTGGCTTTTTGTGATTGGGTTACCTCGCTCAGAATGGTTTCTTCAAGTTCCATCCATTTTCCTGCAAATTTCAAGATTCAATTGTTTTTTCTGCTGAGTTGTACTCCATTATGTAAATGTACCACATTTTCTCTATCCATTCTTTGGTAGGGGGGCATCTGGATCTTGTGGTAGACTCATTCCCATTTTCTTGAGGAGTCGCCATACTGATTTCCAAAGTGGCTGTACAAGTTGGCACTCCCACCAGCAGTGGAGGAGTGTGCCTCCTTCTCCACATCCTCTCCAGAAGATACCAGAAAATGGAAAGATCTCCCTTGTTCTTGCATAGGCAGGATCAGCAGAGTAAAAATGGCAATCTTACCAAAAGCAATCTACAGATTCAATGCA